AATTTTCCATTATGTGTAAGAGGTGTGTGCCAAGAGATCTATAGGTCAATGCCCTGAGGGGCTCTTTTAAACCACTCACTATGTAAATCAGGGCACCATTTCCTCTTTAAAGGAGCCCCATGGTTTTCCTTGTCAAACCACACCCACCAACACAAATTTTGTGCACTGTCCTGAATCCTCTCCTGTCAATTCCTTCCATTCATTAGAGGGAGAAAAAATGATTCTGTGGCTAAACGTGGTGTCCTTCCTAGCAGTCCTCAGAGGTAATTGTTTCTTCCCTGCACAATTCTTTCCTATTTTTTCTTGTAAGCAGGAGAACTCATTAAAACAACTTTTGTTTTAGGGGTCCAATCTGAGATCCAGTTGGTGGAGTCTGGTGGGGACGTGAAAAGGCCTGGAGAATCCCTCCGCCTCTCCTGCCAAGCCTCTGGAGATGACTTCAGTAGCTACTACTCGATGTACTGGGTGAGACAGTATCCAGGGAAAGGACTGGAATGGGTTGCTGCGATTGATTATGATGGAGAAAAGTTCTACTCAGACAAAGTGAAAGGACGGTTCACCATCTCCAGAGACGATGACAACAATCTTATGAATCTACAAATGAACAGCCTGAAACCAGAGGACACCGGAGTCTATTACTGCACAGCTGACACAGTGATAGGAAGTGAATCTGAAACAAAGCAAAAACTGCTTTTTCCCTCAGAACAGAGCTTGATATTGCTCCCAAAACAAAAAATTGAATTTATAAATGAGAACAGCTATGTCCTCCCTCCCTCCCTCCCAAAATTCATATATTCTGAGAAGTGTTTTTACAAAATGCCGTATTAAGTGTGTAGTTAAGCATGAATAGTAGAGAAACTCTCTTGGTGGGCAAATTACCATAGATGGAGAGAAGGAAGTGACATCTCTGGACAGATGGAAAAAGTCACGTTGGTGACTATGATTGCGACTGGAAACCTGTTCCTTTTTCCATGTGTTGAACATTTGACACACATAAAAAGCACAGGGCTTTGATCATTAACCCTAACATTAATTACTCTCTTTGACCCCTCCCACAGATAATCCTGGTTTTTCCCCAAAGAAGATTGAAAATAGCATTGTTGGTTGCCAAGATATTCCTGATGAAGATAAAGACCCCCGAAAGAATCTACCTTGTTTATGGTGGACCTGTGCATTATTTGGGCTCTAAGGTTGTTGTTGTTTGATTTGATTACCCATCCGATTCCAATTGAGATACATGGTTCTTCTCCTGGGATAAAAAATCCTTTCTTCTAAAACCAAGTAAAACCAAAAGCAGATTGAACTCCATCTCTCCATTCTTATCTGTAGAGGAAGTTGTACCTTTTGAAAATATATAGGGAGCCATTTGCATCTCTTCATTGCCCATCAATCCATTTGAATGAAAACATGAAGAAAAGATAGTACAGAGAAACCCCAAGGTGCAAGATCCAGAACTAGGAAGCTTCATTTATTGGTGGGAATGGTGATGAACCCATAACACATTTCAAATTACAGTAGAGTCCACTGCCGCATACATTATTAGTAAATGTGTACTTAAGACTTTTAGTGCGAATGCCTTGATGACCTCAATGTTCATTGAAAACTCTCCTCCTTTGCTTCCTTCAAGGGAGCAAGAGATGTATAAAGACCACATAGTGCTCCTGACCATGAATGACATAAGAAGGAGTTCTCACGGTGCTCTTCTGTGGTTTCCACTGTGAACCTGACTGTTTCTCTAGCCCTATGCTTGAGATTCAAAAGAGACACAAAAGAGATACAAATTTTAGTACTCATTCCTTGACAGCCTGTTTTCCCAGAACTCCTTAAAACTTTCCCAATGTCAAGATCTCCTTTTGGTAGCAAACTAACTTACTTAGGCTCTACAAGACTATTCTTGGAGAATTAGGTCGATGCCTCCCTTCCTCCCTTTTTACACCAGGGTACAGTGTTCTGACATTAATCCCATTGCCTATGCCCGCGGTGGAGGTGGGGCAGGGAACAAAAACAAGGGTCATTAGATATTGTCACATTTTTCAGGCATCTTTATTCTTTCTGTGGTTTCCATAATAGTTCTGAAAGAAAGTCTCAAGAAAATTGAACATCTCAAGAGGCTACAATGCTCACCATGAAGCCATGTCTGTGTTGACAACAGAG